TATATATATATATATAAATCATACCTTATATGTATTCTTTGTTAACATATCTTTAAAATTGAATCGGTCATCAAACCGATTAAAGTGCTAAGAGGTCAATTAATGAATCACTAATTGAATCGCATAATCTAGTCTCTATAAACTTTTAAAAAAAATTGTTCATATTTTATATATTTCATACTTATAAATTTCAATACTCATATTATATCTCAAAAAAGTCTCCAAAAAATATAAGGTGTCAAATAACCACATGTTAGACAAAATATTATTTATTAAATTAAGAAATTATATTATTACACATAATTATTTAAAAAGAATACTAAATAAGTGACTATGAACTAAATTGAAATTACTCGAAAGATAATCCAAATTTATCTTTAAAATATATTGGATCTAATTTGTTAAACACTAATTCTTCAAAAGTATTTTTTTTTAATTGCAAAATTTAGGTCAAGGTAAGTCATGACCCAACCTGGTCATAGACACCCTTAACTTACTGTACAAAATTTATTTTTATTCCAATACAATTTCTCTTTTCATACGATCAACATCAAGCTTGTTCCACAATTAAGACCAGTAAAACTCAATCAGTACTCATTCTCAGTTGTATGTATTATGTTACACCTCGAACCCTTCAATACTAGTTGCTTATTGCTCGATGCAAGTGTAAAGGAGAGTAACGATGCCGAATCACAGACATAAACATCTCACATTTGCATTATTTTTAACGTCTGATTTCAGACTTCACTTTCTACACACCTACACTACCTCCCACCAAAGTAAAACGTGCAACAAACATTATTTAGTGGTTACTTAGTCAGTTGTTTCATTATTCATGTCACAAAATTATAGACTGTGCTTCAGCTCTGCTGTCTATATCATGCAACCAGATTTGCCTCAATTCTTCTCAATATTAAAAAAATCATGTTTGTGCTTTACACTCTCAAATCTCGATATATACATTTCCTAATGAAAAAACACATGACTTCACTGCTGTTGCCAGTAGGTTCTTGTCATACACACTGTTTTGGTCGAAAATTTTCATCAGACAACAGTGAATTTATCAAAGTTTCTAGCCTTTTTGAACCTGGGCCAGGCCTGAGGACAGTAGTATTACCTATTACAGAACAAGGATCACTACCATTCTCCCTGCTTCCTATGCACCAGCCACCTGGAACAACCATCCCAGGGCCTCTAGATAATAGCTCTGCATCAATTTTGTCCAACACTGGATCATCTACCTGGAACTTCCTTGCAAAGGGGGCGTTGCTGTCAACCATCCTTTTCATGTCATCAAGAGAAAGGTAGTGGGGATGTTGCTTGGGAGGATTGTCCCAAGAAATGAAGTGAAGATCACTATTAACAGTTGTGTTCTTGAACTCTTGAGCATTACAAATGACAGTGTGGAAGTACCCTTCAGGGGAAGATATGAAATTAGTGTAGTACATGAGAGCAGTCCGTGGTAGGTTGTCCCATCCCCATATACAGTAATCAATGAAAGATCTTGATAGAACCATCCAAGCCGAACCTAACGAGAGAGAAAAGATTTCGGCCATCATATATGAGTATCTCAGGCACATAATCTGAACATTAATATAATTTCAACTTTTGAGGATTGTGTCAAGGTTAAGCATCGTCATAAAAAAATAAATGAATAAATAATCAAGCAACATGCAATCAAAGAGCCAAGTTCTTAACTACTAGAGAGGATAGGTGATAGTCAATTGTGTGGATGTGGGTCTACAGGTCCTTGCGCTCCCAGGGGACTCACTGAAGCCACGAAGGATGTTTGGTTAAAGGAATAAAGCCTGTATGAGAGGTCCAAGAGTGTAAGATGCTGCAGTGTGGAGGACTTTGTATACTAATTGGCAGTGTTGTTTGACACATTCTAGAAGAGTTGTATTGGGCTTTTTGTCTTTTATGTGTTTGGTATTATTAGTTATGCTTCCTTTTATGAACGAACTCTCTACTTCTTCCTAGAGGTCTCAGCCCTCTAAGTTGAGGTTCGTATCACAGTAACACACTCCTAACATTTTAATGCTTTGATTGAAAATGTTCTCATGAAAAATCCGAATACGTACTATAAAAAAGAATCTCAAAAGCACCAAAACTGGATCATTAGCAAAACCTTACAGTCAAGTTGATCAGTTGGGTGCACCTAGCACTCTGGGACCTGATCCCAAGTAGGACCATGAATGAGTTGTCCTCAATGATGTGAAACAGAAAAATGTTGATCTTGATCTTGGTTCAATAATTTAAGCTGTGCAAAAGATAACTAATACTGCGGAATAATAATCCCCCGCTTAGTTTTCCTTTTTCAGTCATAATTGTTATGATCTCCACCAAAAATAATTGACATGACCAAAATAAGTGGTATAATTGCAACTTGCAAGTGAGCAAGAAGCCATATCCCCATCGGATTTCCTGCATCATACCCTGTTTCACTGCCTGAAAAGCATTTTATTGCAACACTAACTAAAATCCTATGTATACTTAAGTGTTCTAAAGGTATAAATTGTTAGGTGAAGGCACTTTAGTGATTTTACATTTCTATCACACCACCTCATGCAAATAGCCCGTCGGTAGTGAAGAGTGGATAATACAGTGGTCCACCTCAACCAAGATTGAACCTGTAGACCACTTGATCACAGAGGCTATAATAATATCATACAAAAAAGATTAATTGTTCCAAAAGCTTAAACTGTTAGGTGAAGGAACATAAATGGTTTTATATTTCTATTAATTTAAAAATAAAATTGTTTCCCTTAAATAAGATGAAAACTTTATGCCAGCAAAACTCAATGCCTGCTGGTATCGTCATCTGTGCAAGACATCATCCTATCAGACAATCATATGTGACTTCAATATTTTCCATGATCCAAAACCAGATCAAAACATATTCTATACAGAGCATAGTTGTCGTTCATTCTTATCTTCACTTCATAGAAATAATCACCCATAAGGCAATCAATCACCCTTTCTAAACCCTAAACTAAAATAAACAAACTAAAGAGTTAGACACAAGTGAGTAATGTACCGAATTCAAGGTCAAATTGTTCAAACAGTTCTTGAGTTCGATCCTTGGTAGAAACAATTCTTGAATAGACTTTACTTAACTTCTGACCGAATCAAAATAGTTTAAGATCAACTCTTAGGACATTAGTGCGAAATAAAAAAAAATAAACACAAAATTTCTTAAGCTTCAACAATTTAATTGATCACACCAAGTCCAAACCAAAACCTTCCTTCCAAAAAAGAAAAGCCTGACTCCCGAGCAAGCTAGACCATAAATCATCAAATTTAAATAGCAACCCACAAGGTTCAAAATTGCAATAACAGTCACAATTTCATTGCGATTCTTGACATTGTGAGGAAGAGAAATGTTGGGAACACATCCTTTTAAACATAAGGCTGTCCATGAATTGGATTTTTAAAAATTCAAACCGAACCGAATTAACCATCGATTAATTGAACTGTTTTTTATAAAGTGATTTTTTTTTTTTTTCATGATTTATAAGTTTCCAATCAATAGAAGGGGAATGTCCTAACAAGAGTATGTTGTCATCGTTAGCACTCTTGTAAGAAGTTGTGTATAAATGCAACAACAATTGTTGTCCCATCCCAATGAGAGTCTAAAAACATTGTGGGGTTGTGTCTAGCTTAAAACCGTGGCAACCCACAGGAAAATATATATATATATAAGAAAAGGAGGAGCACCTGTGAAAAGTTTAAACGCCGTTGGCCTACTTCTCCTCTGCGTAATCCAGAACACGTCTTGCTTCTTAGTCATATACAGCCCCGGATCAATAATTATCGGTCTCGCCCGTTGATGACTACACATGAACAAAACATTCAAAGCCACGGAAATTAAGAAAGAAAAAAAAAGAGGAAACAGTTAGTAAGATTAGTTGAATACATGACTCACTCTTCCCAGCCAATGTCACTGGTGTGATCGATGAAATTAAGATCGCGCGGCAAATGCGAGAACGCGTGGAGCAGATCTAGGAATCAGAATGAAGCCATTACGTTAGAGAGAGAGAGAGAGAAGGAGAAGATAGTGTTCGTTAGTGTACCGTCTTGCGTGACGAGGGGGTAATCGGAGGCGCTGAGGTTGATGAACCAATCCCAGTCGTCGTGGTCGGTTAAGGCGAGGGCGGCGGCGTGGAGGGTGTTGGCGACCATGGTGGGGCCGCGGTAGGTGATGAGGTTGGGGTTGGAGAGGACCCTGACGTTGCGGAATTTAAGGAAGGTGAGGTGGTGGGTGACGTGGCGGTGGAGGAGGTGGTGCTCGTCGGGGTGGGAGTCGCGGTCGAGGTGGAGGAGGTAGCGGTTGCGGGGGTGGTAGAGGGCGGAGAGGGTGCGGAGGAGGGCGGGGGCGTGGCCCTTGGAGCCGGAGATGAGGTAGGCGAGGACGGGGGGGAGAGGGGAGGGCGGAGGGAGGGGGAGGGGCCGCAGCTTGGACTCCACGAAGGGGCCGGAGATGGCGAAGGGGAGGATGGCGTCGGGGGTGGTGACTGTGGCGGCGAAGATGAGGAGGAGGCAGAAGAGGGAGAGGAGGGAGGCCGTGGCTATTGCGGGGAAGATGCACTTCCGTTGCTGCTGTTCCCAGCTGTAGTAGTGTTTTAGTTTCTTCATTGTCTCTCCTCAGGATAACTCCAAACCAATCGATACTCTCTCTCTCTCTCTTCTTAACGATAACTTCTTCTTATTCATTTCATTCCATTTAATCCTTATTTAATAAAATATAATTAATTGTTAATATATATTAATTTTACTCCATGATTACAAGGAAAGTATTAGTTTTATTAAATGATACTTTTGCCTTTATTTTGGTTTTCCATTTACACACAGAAACAATATCATTCAGGGATCCTTTGCCATTTGGGTGTGGTTTCAAGTTTCAATTCCCATCGGGTTGGTGATCAATTAATTGGTTGGTGATCAATTGTAAGGAGAGTTACGGCTAGATGCAGCTAACGATTTATGTATGCAAAGCCAAATTGCTAAATGTCATGCCAAGTGATGGAGACTTATGTTTTTTTTTTTTTTTTATCATTAATTATTATGGAAGTTTTGTTATTACCATTACATATTTTTGGAGTTTTTTTTTTTTTTTTTTATCATTAATTATTATGGAAGTTTTGTTATTACCATTACATATTTTTGGATTAACTATTATTAAATTTTAATAATTATACTTCAAAATTAACTTCATCGAAAATCATGTCAAATAAATCACTTGCTTCGCAAAAGGCTTGGGTGTTTAACCGCTTCATCAGAGTATAATAATTAATGGTGTTATCGAATCAAATATGATAAATCTCATAATCAAAATTAAATTAATTTGGTTAATTATTTTTTTATTTTAAACCCCAATTAAATTAATTATAATTTATTTGATGAATATATTTTTTAATAATTTTTTTAAACAATTAACTATAATGTTTTTTAAATTTTATTACTTCGATTTTTCTTCTAATTTTATCCTTTTTTTCCATTGAGTTTTCTGATTTAATATGTGGTGTTACCAAGTGTCTTTGTTTAGTTATATTTATTAGGTATTTTTTTTAATATACTTATTCTTGTTAGAAAATGAATCTAAGAGGTCTTTGATAGGAAGTCTTTTATTTTCAACTTCTTAATCCTCAACTTCCAGAGTGTCAAATAGTTCGATATCAAAATTAGTAAGTAATTATAGTAATTGAGTGTATTATATATATATAATATGTAATTGAAGGATTGATACAAATATATTTATAGGTAAAAAAATGTTACCGTTAAAGATTTTATTATTAAGTGTATTCAAGTTTCTTTATTGTCTTATAACAATTGAACATTACTACTTACAATAATTGTGATGAGAGATGTAATTTTGACTAAATTATTCTTGACTATGCATTGATTGTTCTAATGAGGTAACCAATCATACATAAAATCTTTTAAGTTCTTTTATAATTGGGATCGACAATTTATCAACTTCAAAGACCGATAACTTATCGACCTTGAGATCTCTCTGGTATAATATTTTAGTTAAATAAATTAATGAGATATATAAAATTATAAATATGATAAAAAAATAATTAATAATTAAATAAATAGTCATTAAAAAAATAAGAAATATTTTTTTACATTTGATGAATGGAAATGAAAAAGATAATAAATAGGGATATTTTTTTTAACATAATATTTGTTTATCACAATCCAATAAAACAGGTCAAATTAATTGGATAATGCTTGGATTGGTTTGTTTCATATTAATTTAAAAAAAATCAAAACTCAAATCATACTAATCCAATTTTGATTGGAGAATTACTTGGGCTTTCATATGTATCATGGGAGAGTGAGCAGGTGGGATTTCTCTCACCTTGTTGAGCGTGTCAAAGGTAAGCTGGCTACTTGGAAGGGGCATTTGTTGAATAAGGCAGGAAGGTAACATAAGCAAATGCAGTCATTGCCTCACTTAGGTTTTTAAGCAGCCTCTCACTATGGTGGTCCTGTTTGTGGACATTCATGATGTAGGTCTTAAGGTTTAGGATGTTTGGCATGGTACTTGCTTGGAGTTGTCTCGGTTGCACACTCATTTACCCGAAGAAGTCGTTCAAGTTGTCTTGGACATTCGGCCCACTCTGGTTCCTCATATTCCACACCTGTGGGTTTGGACGTTGTCCATATCAGAGTATTTATAATGAGAGTTATTTATAAATAACTCTTAATTACTTTAAATGAGTCTTATTATGTCACATCACTTATAAGTAATTTATATTATGTTTTTATAATTTTTGTTTTAATACAAATTGTTTATAAACATCCCTACATTTTTACAATTCATACTATATTTTTTGACAATTCATATTATACTTTATGATAAATTTTTTAAAAATTAATTATTATAAATAATATATAAATATGAATAACAAATAAAAGAAATTACATAATAAAAAAATTATAATAATAAAAAGAAGTACCTTAATATATCCTACAATGAGAAACTAAAAAGATTATTTCATTTGAGAAAATATTTTCTATTTTTATCTTTAAAAATAATTTTTATTTTCAAATTTTTAGATTTAGAAAACTTGTTAGTTTGTGTTCTGGTTTTCGATTTAGAAAATAGAAATACTGAAAATGTGTTTGATTTAATTATTTTTTAATAAAATTTTATAAAATGTATTTTTTTTTATAAAATGTAAAAAATAAAAATAGAAAATAAAATGTAAAAAATAAAAATAAAAAATAAAATGTAAAAAATAAATTTACGAAATGTATTCTCAACGTGTCTCTCGTTCCCTCTTTCTCTCTCAAGGTCTCTTTTTTCTTTCTCTCAATTTCTCTCGTCTCTTATTCTCTCTCGTGGCTGGTAGGTGGTGGATGGTGGGTGTTGGCCGTGACTGGTGGCTGGTGGGTGGTGGGCGACGACGCTTGTGTAGCGACGGTGGCCACAGGAACGACGGCGCTGGTGCGACGATGGTTGGTCCAGATGTTAATGATGTGTTATTCATTAACTTACAATAAAATATTGGCTAAAATATCTTTCTACCCTTATAAATTCATTGACTTTAGCTTTTAATTTTAAACTCACATTTTTGAATATTTTTAATTTTTATCGTTACTTTTTTTGTAACATTATAGTTGTATGAATTACATGAACTTATTAAAAAAAATTTGGATGATGATATGTCACATTATGATTTGGGAGGAAAAAATAAACGGTATAGATAATTTTGTGAACAATCAATATTTATTATGATTAAAACGTCATTGAGATAACCGGTCAAGTTATTAATGATTAAATAGTAGACTATTAAATGACATATTATCATAAAAAAATCAAATACATCATCGTCACGCAAATTTAATAAACTTATATCACTCACACAGAAACAATGTTATAAAAATATGAATGGTTGGACTAAAAAAATTATATATATATATA